TAAGTCTTAGTCTCTTCCATTAATCAGACAATTGAAGTATATTGAGCTAAAGCCAGCAGATATAACTAAAATAATGAACCATTTTTCTGTGAAGCTTACATACATGTAACTGCATTAATTTACACGATCATCCTTGCATCTATGGAAAACAACAAAGTTTCATACCTGTAGAGGCGCCACGGCCGCCAATTGACAGCCCAAAGTATTGAAAACGAAGCCGAACCCAGAACAGCAAAAAGGGTTCCTGAAATAACACAGGACAATAGAACCCCACGATCGTCCCCTTCCATGGCTTCCTCCTCTCACCTACATCCACATGCACCAGATCAATTCTGATAAAAGAAATAAACAACCTTTAAGTGCGGGGAAAAAAGGAGTAACCCAAAACATGCCATAGACTCGCAAATAGTAAAGCAATAAATTGACTCCTCAAAAAAACAAAAAAAAAATCCAAAATTGAACAAAAACAGTATTGAAACCCAGATAGAGGACAGTAATGTAGATAGAAATGAGAGGGAGACTTTAATCTTTACCTACTTGGCTGAAGTGGGCTTAACGGGCAATAGCATTATGATGAATTCAGAGCCAATGGGTCATGTCTGAGTCTGGGAATTGAGCTTTGAAGAGCTTGACTACAGCTAACAAGTCAACTTAAACATGGGTTTTGGTTGGTTTTGAACTAGGGTTTGCTTGAAACTGAGCTGAAGATATAAAGTGTGAGAATCTGAAAGCAGCAAGGTCTTTGTGATGAGCAGGGAGAAGAAAAAGTTAGCTCCTTTAGGGTTTGTCCGATTGGGTTATTTTTCCCCCTTTTATCTTCTTTTGAGAATTTTCTCAGATTATTTCAGGTGAAGAAGAGAGAATAGGAGAAAAATAAAAAAAGGAGTAAAGATTAAAACCCTACTGCCTCTGTTATATGTGTGAACTGTAAGTTAAAAAAATAAAAGGCGAGACCTTTTTTAGAGAGAAAAAATGGAGGCTTTTTTTCTGAGAGAGAGAGAGAGAAAGTGGGAAATTTTTTTAGAAAAGATAGGGTTTATGTCTCAAAGGAATATCAATCCCATTCTCAAAACCGACGCGTGTAATCCACTCTCCAATGGGTGCTTTTCTGTGATGATGGAGTGAAAAACCTTCTAAGGGCATGTTTGGTGGATGAACAATTTTTTCCTTAAAAACCAAGAAAAGCTCTTTTTTTCCCCCCTCCCCTAAAATTATGTAATGAAATTGAATTTTATGGTCAATTTCATTTATTTCATTTTTTTCCACTCTCCAATGGGTGCTTTTCTGTGATGGGTATAGGAAAAAGACATACAAGAGTGAAAAACCTTCTAAGGGCATGTTTGGGGGATGAACAATTTTTTCCTTAAAAACCAAGAAAAGCTCTTTTTTTTCCCCCCTACCCTAAAATTATGTAATGAAATTGAATTTTATGGTCAATTTCATTTATTTCATTTTTTTCACTCTCCAATGGGTGCTTTTCTGTGATGGGTATAGAAAAAAGACATACAAGAGAGAAAAACCTTCTAAGGGCATGTTTGGGGGATGAACAATTTTTTCTTTAAAAAACAAGAAAAGCTCTTTTTTCCCCCTCCTAAAATTATGTAATGAAATTGAATTTTATGGCCAATTTCATTTTTTCCACTCTCCAATGGGTGCTTTTCTGTGATGGTATGGGAAAAAGACATATAAGAGTGAAAAACCTTCTAAGGGCATGTTTGGGGGATGAACAATTTTATCTTTAAACAACAAGAAAAGCCCTTCCCCCCCCTCCCCCCTAAAATTATGTAATGAAATTGAATTTTATGGTCAATTTCATTTATTTCATTTTTTTCCACTCTCCAATGGGTGCTTTTCTGTGATGGGTATAGGAAAAAGACATACAAGAGTGAAAAACCTTCTAAGGGCATGTTTGGGGGATGAACAATTTTTTCTTTAAAAAACAAGAAAAGCTCTCTTTTTTCCCCCCCTAAAATTGAATTTTATGGTGCCCCCAAATCTCAATTTCATCTACTTTAACTTTTATTTTGGGGGTAATTTAGTTAAAACAACAAAAAAAAGTAAACCTATTGATTTAGTA